AATACATTGTGCCATTGTTATTGTATTTGGTCGCTGCCAAAAGTGGCGTACACTCAATTTGTTCCCAATTTGTTTATTAAAAGCGACATAAATAATTTACAATAAATTTTTTAGTACGATTTTTTGTTTGTATATTTTTTCTCATTTCTTTTCATACATTGCATAACCAATTTGTATTTGCCATTGTTTACTCATCGCGCGGTTTAACCTCTTTTTGTGCTCAATTAATCTTGCATCGCCTCAATTCGATCTTACCGGAGCTCCAACGTTATTTAGTTTACATTTTTTTTATAAATTTTTCCCATGAATTGAGCGCCATTGGGATACCGTAATAACTACTAATTAGTTTCTTATATATTTGTATGTTCGTATGAATATTTATGTATGTATTACGCGTAGCGGCGCCACGCTGTTGGTGGCATTTCAGCAAAGATTTCTAGCTCCGCGTCGAATAGGTGCACTTGACTGTGAGTGTTGTTGTGTATGTGTGCCGGTGCTAATAAGCTCGCTTCACCTGTGTTCCTTCTCACCCGACAACCGCTTCCAGCTCATGGCAGCTGATTTATTTGTACGAGCGCGCCCGCCACATTCGTTATTGTTTTTGGGGTTATTGTACCATTGTTGCATGCAGCAGCTGCTGTGCGTTGTTGTTGTTAATGTTTTGCTTAAATACACTTTAATTACCTAATTTACTTGCATTTATTAGTCACTTGTTAATTTGCGCTCAGCGTCCGACAGAGGCAACAACAGCGTTTTGCTTTAGTTTTAATCGCAGTCGCTGGATTTTGGCTTGTTGTGTTTGTTTTTTGGGCAAAACATTTGCTTAATTTACTACCAAATTGCCAAAGTTGAATTTCGTGCTCGTGCAACTGACGCAGCGGCGCAGTGCCGGGTTGCTTCGAAAAGGTTACTTCACCGTTATTTATTATTTTATTAGCTTACCACAAACAAGTTAGCTGTGCTGCACGTGTGTGGTGTGGCAAGTGTTTACTGCCACCTCCAAGTTATCGATATATTAAGTGAGCTCCGAGGGTAAACTGACACGCTCGCTGCGGTGTGAGTTTGTGTTTGAGGCGCCACCGCATCACGCTTTTGCTACAATTAAGTTGCTATTTCCTCCACTCGAGCTCGGGCTCGGGCTCGGTCTCAGGCCAATTCAGTTCAGCTCAGTTCATGTTCTCGGTTGACATTCACGTTTTATGCAAACATTTTCATTCATCATGCACTCATTCGCTCCATGAACGATTGTCACGTTTTGCATAAAGCACCGTTGTTGTTGTTGTTTATTAGTTCATTTCTATTCTGTATCGTTCGATTCTCTGATTTGTTTCGATTTGATTTGAATTACAATTTAAATTCGTCTATTACCATCTGGCGCGAGCGGACAGTGCATGACGGGAGGCCAAGAGGATCCGCGACAAATGTCACAGCTGTCAAATTTAACGCTAAGTATGAACATTACGCTCGCTCGCAAAAGGGTAGGGGTATCATATGTTTATGTCAACTTTTGTGTCAGACATTTCAATATTATTTCCAAGGAATCCCAAATGGGAACTAGGATTACTAGGCGATATCAGTATTAAACAAAATTCTAATTCTAGTTAATTAAATATTTTTAGGCTCAGCAGAGGTGGTGCCCTATCGACTCAACCCTGAATTTGTTTCTGCAGCTGCGACAAAAGTCATTAGAGAAGTTGAAAAGTAGAAAGTAGACGGTGCAGCCCATCTCTTCATTCTCAGCATTCGGGCTTGCGCTAGTGCAATTTCCCCATGTTTGAATTGGATTTGGCCTTACGGCATTGTAGCTTTGGAAAATTACAAAACCGGTGTGCCAGCGTGGTTTATACCTCCTTCTGAAGAGTATCATTTCGTCTTGATTTACATTCCGACCACGATTTCAGAAAAGTTTTCCAGTTGTTGTGCGGGCGACGTCGTCAGAGCTATCACCTTACAGCTCGTGGTTTTTAGTTTGCGAATCAGCAAATTAAGTGTGAGGCACCAAAGGAGCGGATAGAGAACTTCACCTTATGCGGCGCCGCTGTTATTTTCTTCGCTAAATATTTATCTCTTTTATTTATATTTTTTTGCGATTCTGTTTTTATTTTTTATTTTTTGCTATTATTTGACTTTATTTATTTTTCTTTGTTCTTCATTGTGGATTCTTCTTTTGAATGTTTAACGCGATCTTTAAAAATTGGTCTACACCTGTTGCTTTGTCTTATTTACTATCAATTACTTACAATATTTGCTTACGATGTTCATGGACCTAAATATATTTTCCCTTAAGAAATATTTACACGAGCTACAAATATTTCAAGTTTATCGCAAATTACTTTAAAGTTTCATTTCACACCAATCTTCACATTTGCAGTAACATAAATATGTGTTTATGTACATCTGTACATATATTTATAATTACATACAAGCAATTAGTTGTTGACATAATTTGTTTGAGCCTCTACCAAAACTAGCAACTATTTTCGCTCACATCAGTATAAGTATGTGTATGCGTGTGTGTGTGTTTTTGTTGTTGTTGTTGTTTTCAGGTGTCACTTGTCAATCGGTTTTGTCTCTGTCAGAACTTGGCTTTAATATCAGCTTGTTTGGTCAATGCTGATTTCTGGTTTTTGAAGGTCAAAGCCAGCCGGTGGAACCGTTCACCATAAATTCTGCGCGCGTCGACAACCTGCTGTTTCCACCGGTTGAGTGATTGGCCTACTGTCCAACAGCGAAAATTTTTTTGTGTACTAGTTTTTTATGTAAATGCTGATTCTATTTTAATTTTTTTTTTGTTTGCTTTTGGGCATTCTTAATTCTACGATATACTTGTATGTACGCATGTATATTCAAACGAATAATTGCTGTTTTAATTTTATTTTTTTTTTTACCAAAAACATGCGATTTTTATTTGTTTGACTTTGAATTCTCAAACTTCTTCCGCTACTTCATTCGCATATGTATTTATATGTATGCATGGCTCTGTTTTTATGTTAACTTTTTGCCTGAAATAATTACTATTTGTAGGTGTCTCTTTTTCATATTCGCTTCTTTGTTCTGTGTATTTTCCGCTAACAATAAAAAAGTGTTGTTTTTTCTATTTTCTTTTGTCGTCTTCCGCTTCTAAAACTCTTCTGAAAATTATGCGCAAGCTCGCTTTAGCTTGGTTCCTACGTCAAGTTATTTTTATTTGTCAAAAGTTTGTAGGCAAGATCCCACAAAAGTTGTTTAAGATTGGTCATTAACAATAATTAGAGCATACATATGTACATTTATTCAGACGTATTTACATGTATTTACTTTTGTCTTGTCTTGTCTTGGAATCTTTCTTAAAAAACCTTTGATCATGCTAAGGGTACAAGGGTACACCCCTTTCGGGACAACGTCCAGGTGGTAATTCCTTCCAATACACCTACATATGTATTCAACGCTCCAATTCCAACTGCAGGTCACTGGTTCTACGGAACCGCCGCTGAGCATCCAGTCGCAGAACCAAGCTTAGCTTAACTGGCTCTTCATATAGCTAAGCGTAGAATTTTCCATCTTTGTTTTTTCGATTGCACAGCTAGTTGTAGCTTTTTCACCATAAGCCAGTAGTTAATCCTAAAAGGAGGGCCCTCACATAAGCTCCCTATCTGGGTGAGTTCATTTCCCGCAACGGTTACTGCAATACCGTGAACATTTTTATTTATTTATTCAATTCAGTTGTTATTTTTCCGAAGTTCAAGATCTTTTTAGTCAGCAAAAAGTATATATTATTTATATAAATATGTATCGCTTTCTTTTTAAGAACGCAGCACAAGCCGCAAAGACTTACCTTTTTTTAACTTTTATCTATTCACAATTTCCTATGGCTTCATGCGGGCGTTAACATACATATACGTACATACATACGTACATATATTCAATGCCAAGGTTAAATAAAAATGAATTTTTTTCTTTTTTGTTTCTCTTTTACTTTGCCTTTAATTTTTGGCTGCGAGTTTCCTTGGTAGTAGTTTTGTTTATTTTCATACAAACATACATACATACATACATACAGCTGATAACGAAGTTTGCTTGGCAATTACTCAACACCTCAGCGGGTAGCGCGCTTCTCACACCACACGCTTGTGCTTACAGCAGTTTTTTTCTTCTTTAGTTGGTTTTGTTGGTTTTTATTTGAACTTTAATTCTGTTCGGCGGTCTAAAGTATGCCTTTTTGGCTGGCTTGGTTTTCGGCATTTTATCTCTTGTATTTACTTTATTTGCTGTTTTGTTTTGTCACGCTCTTTTGCACAATAGACTCGTTTTTATTTACTGTTTTCTTTTTATTTTTTAATTTTTTATTAAATTTGTTTTATTTTTTATTATTATATAATTTTGTTGATTTTAGTCTTTTTATTTAGCACATTTCTTTCAGTTTATTTTCTTGTTTACCAAATTTTTTGCTAATTTTTTTTTTATTATTTCTCTAGCTCACTCACATATGTAAGTGTTTCAGTATGTACATGAGTAAAATGGAATTAAGAATTCTTACAATTATTCATGTACACACATATGTATGTGTATTGTGGGCTCACTCACTCACTCATTCATATAATTATTGCTGAAAATCATCAAACCGAAAGAGGAAATGCCGAAGAAATACAAGTAACTCAAGTGAATGGTGGACTTTAAAATTTATAGTGGAAGCGACAATGTTGGAAATTAATAAACAACCGCGGTGGTGTTATTTAAAGCTTAAAATCGTTAGAATTTATTTAAGCTCGTACTTGAATTGTAATAAATAAAAGCTCAAATTGCCGTTGAATTGCAAGTTCTTTTATTTTGTTTATTTAATTTTAATAATTGAGATTCTTGTGGTGCTGGATTTATGTTTTTTTATGAAACTTTCAAAATGTGGACACAATTAGTTTTAGTGACAAACATTACATTACCGTTAGATTTTATGACTTTTAACTCAATATACATTTTTGTTTAAATGTCAATATTAAATTGTTTTTATTCCCATCTCATTGCAGTTTAACATCCGGCTGTAACGGTATCTTCTCGCGTCGCTTGGATTTTTCTTCATTCAATTTGTTGCCGAAAACGCGTTTAAATTCTTATCAAGTTAAGGTAAGTGATTTCGCTTCAAATTTTCAGCCGACCGCTATTTAGCCTTGGTACCTAATCACCTCGTCATATAACGGTCATCTACGATAATTGTTTGTGATCACACTTTTCAAATAAATAAATGTGTTTTATGTTTTTTTTCTCTCTCTCTGTTGAGGGCGTGAAATTTCTGGGTAGTCAGCATTCATTCCATCCCATTTGGCTGGAGAACTCGCTTGGTCGGCAGCAAGCTATGCATAGAACCGAGTGTACCGAGTGTACTATTCGAAGGCATTTCCTAGAAAATTGTGCATTTTTTGTTTTGTTTTGCTAGCCAAACTACAACATTCATCAGCATTCCAGTGCAGCTACTGATTTTCGTAAGCTTTTGTTTGCTTCATTCATATTTTTTGCAGCTGAGAGAATTTCTTGGAAGTGTTTTTGTTTTCCCGCTGTGAAATTATAGTACGTATTTATTTATAAATATTTTCATAGTAAAATTCGAGCACGAAAAATAACGCAAGCTCAACGTAAAGCTCAGCTTATTCGAAGTTTTGTTTACTTCCCGCTTTGGTTATTTGATGCTAAAGTTGATTTTGATTGAAATGTTCTAATAAATTTCTGATACGCAGTTCAGGCTTATTTTATTTCAGCAAAAATAGAAATAAAACGTTCTCTTCTTACTAAAATTGAATGAAAATCATTTGTCATAATTTTCAATATGTTCAGCATATTTTCTTTCGTTTTGCACTTTCCCTTCCAGGTCTGCTCGGATTGCACGCATGCAACATCAAATTACATTTCAAATGCCACCACCAACAATAGCAACAAAGCTCTCTTAATATATCCATGACAATGGCATTGAACGAAAATTTAGTTACCTGCAACTTTTTGCCTTTCCATCCATCCTCCATGTTTATCTATCTGTCTGTCTGTATATTGATATCTCCCTTTGTTATTGACGTTAACCCGCATTGGCGTAAAACAACAGTTATGGCACATGTAATACGCATTCGATATCACTTTTTGAGTTAGAGAAGTATTTTTTTTTTCTTAAAAAAAACCCCGTAAACTATTTTTAATAATTAAATTTATTATAATTTAAATTTATTTAGTTTTTACTTTATACATTTTTATAATTTTTTTAATCTGAAAATATTCTCCATTGGTTAATCGTTTGGTACTCATTCACTTGCATAATTTCTTAGTAAATTTTTTTTTTGTTTGCAACCGTTTTCTTTGAAAATAAACTTATTTTATATATTATGTGTAGTAAAATGTTATCCATTATCTCGTCATTGAATTTGAAACCTTATTTGCCATAGCTAGAATCCGATTTAACTTTTTGCTATTTTAGATGAAATGCCATTTCGCCTCCCTCGTAAAAATACAGGTCCCTCTTAGCGAATCGGGACAATCGATTTGACAGGCTTCTCTTGAGAACAATTTTTTGCCAGCCAAATCATTCGCCATAGGCAGAAACAGATATCAATCACTTTGTGCAGAGTTCGAAGCTCTCAGAGCCTTTAGCGACTCCTTGTGTATGTGCGGTGCAGTTAATAGTTCATGATTCTTTGTCAGTCTCACCAAACACGCAATTACAACTCCCGTTACCATTTTTAATACAAAATATATCTTTCTAGAAAAACAAATCAATAAAACCATCTATTGCAAAAATGATAGATTTCTTTATACTAGACCAAATAATTACCTTGGTTATCCATTTCGATTCTTGCGCAAATCAAGGCTCCTTGGCTTACTGGGATAATCCATTCTCTACGCAGCTAAGCACAGTCATGAGAATAAAACAATTCAATTTGGCTGGAAGCTTTGAAATGAAACAAACACAGAAAACACCCATATGATTACAAACATACACAATCATCTGGTTTATGCTCCAAAATGTATGCTTTAAATCATATTTTATCTCTCCCATTCTTACACGCTCCTGCTGTCTTTAGAAGTTTTCTTCTGCGTTTTTCTTGCTTCTCGAATAAAAATTGGAAACATTGTTGCAACAGGCAAATAAGTATTTGAAAGTAGTTTTGTTGGCCGCAGCAGCAACTGCAGCGTCTGTTCGGCATCTCTATTGCTTGGCAACATTTGCAAATTGTATTGAATTTATACATATTTAATTCGTTTCGAAATGCATACAATTGCCATTCACAGCCAAAATAGTATGCACATACATACATAAAATACGTACAATAGAATAGAATGTGCTGTGTGTCTTTGTTGCTGTCTGTAAAAGGGAAATAATTCGAAAGTACTGCAGAGAGAGGCGGAACGAATGCGCGTCCGTTTGGGCATGGCAAAGCGGTGCACGGTCATGGAGTGAAGGCAGAACGTCTGACTGTTCCAGCTTCTTTTGAAGCCCACCTGATGGCTAGCCATGGCATGGCTCTGTGGTTCGTTGCTGTTGTTCTATCGTCACAATCTCTTCTGCCGCACTCCATGGGCTGGCGGTTTGGCTTTGAATCCGCTATATTTTCCTCCTGCTTGCTATTCTCCAACTATCGATTTTATGGATTATATTTTCAAATGCCTTTCACTGCTCTTCTTCTGCATCGCGCGGCTTTTGCATCCAAAAACTTTTTCACTTCCCATCACCCAAAAGAAAAAAAACATAGTTGCTGTTGTTGGTAATATCCTGCGAAGCACCAGAGGAAATAAATACATTTCGAGCTTATTAAACTTGTACTTTGCTTGAATATTTGGTTATTCGATTGTGCAGCGGTTCCGTGCAAGTAGTTATTTCCCATATTGTTGCTGCTTTAGCTGGCTGCTTGGTTGGCTGGTAGCGCATTAAGTTATTAGAGTATTTTTTTTTTTTTTTTTTTTTTGAATAGTTATTTCTTGCTTTCTCTCTCCTTATCTCCTTCGGCTTTCGTCTGTGCGAGAAACTTTGAATTCGAAATCCTCTACAATTACGAAAAATATGCGGAAAAGTTATTTGCTTATTGGAATTCCTCGGAGGGAATAACTTTGATTAGTTCTATGCATGCGAGAGTAATAAGAATTTTGTATAAATGCAGACATATTTGGCTTTTCCTTTGTATTTCTTCTCCCTTCGTAATTTTGCCATTTAAAATTTAATTTTTTCCGTTTAAATATTGACATTAAATGCAAATAGACAACATATGTCCATACCATGGCGCTGTAGGCAAACTGTTGTTGCTTTTCATACTACGTATTTAGCTACTTAATTAGCATTTCTCGTAAACACCTCCAACTTGGCATGAATCACCCAATTAGCAGTGGTAAGTCAACTTCATGTGTTCGTAATTAATCCATTTTTTTTTTTTAATTTCTCCTGCCGTCAACGTTTTTTCTGGCACTTAATTTGAGTTAATCAAATTTTGAAGTTTCTAAAGGGTTGATTTCTTGTTTTTTTTTTTTTTAATTTCTTTGCGTTTATCCTTTCTTAACATCATCATCTGTCAACATTTTCCACTTTCGTTGAAGGGTTAAGCGCACAGCCGATCATTCGCAATAATTAGAAATGTTTCTATTTGCTTTTGACTCGAATATCATGCATCTGCGGGGATAACTACCTTTCGGTGCTTTTCGTTTTCCCTTTCGGTGGTTACTTATGATTTTTCATGTTTAATAGGCAGAGTTAATGATAAATGGTTAAAAATGAAAATCAATCTGAAAGCTAAAAAAATAAAAATAAAAAAATTGCCGCAAATCATACATCAATCACATTGTTGATAATGACAAAATAACCGTAAAAGCCATTAAAAATATATAACATATAACATTGAACGTGTGTCCCATGCGACATGATGAAAATTTTTTAAGTCCTAGACTCAGATAAGAAGTTTTCATGCGTTACGGATTATACTAATAGAAAACTAAATATTCTAATTTCCATGATTCCTGGCAGTTTTACTGCAGCTTGCCTCATATCTGCCTTTAAATTGCATGGCATTTTTCATTTATGACTTTTTCGCTGTGTGACTGAGTCTTCCAACTGTAACCGCGGTTTTCTGTATTGCCACTGATAAACACCTGAGTTTCAGCATGCGAGCCACGGCTGTGACAACCGCTTATCAGCTGCTGACGACTCCCGGTTATGCGGGCGCATATTTGCGATTACATCCATGCATGCACACAACGTGCATTTCATACATATTCCCGGCTTTTAGCTTTATTATCAACCATTTTCGAAGCCGCTTTGTTCTTTGAAAAAGACTTTTTTGGGTAAACCATTGTGACGTTTCTAGCTGCCAACGGGTGACAGTAAGCATTAAACACTGCCGCTGTTGTCGTCACTAAAATCATATCCGCCAGCAGCAGCATCAGCAGTATTGCAATGCATTCACCCGCCTCCCTCTTATATGAACTCACTTTTCTCTGCAACGCGACGAAACAGCAGTTGCAGCATCTGCTTTGCTGAGTTGCTACTTTTGCTTGTGGTAGTCGGTTCACCGCTCCACCGTTTCGTTTTGTCATGATTCGCGTTGTCGCTGTCAGCGTCTTTGATGTGTTGCCTGCCATCAACGGTGACATTGGTGAGACATGTCGTCAGCTGCGGCCGATAGTTGGTTTGCTTTGTTGTTGCCAGTTGTGGCTGCTTCCAAACGTTTTCAGCTCAGCGCTTATTCAATGTCAGTGCTTGCTGTTTGATAGACAGGTTTCTTGGCTGTGGTTGGTATGGAAATAAAAACGTAAAAACGTAGTTTCTGTCTAACCAAAAACGCCAATTTACTTGATTGTGGTTCTATATTTTGGCGATTGTTTCATTCTTCGTTCGCTTGCTTGGCTTGCTTTTCATCTCAATTGAAAATTCAAGTTCAATGTTATGAGTGCCAAAGAAGGTGTACATACACAGATTATGTACATTAATGCAATTTCGGAATATTCTGCCGGCTCACATTCCCTTCGCTTTGAGGACTCCGAGTTATCTGGTTTTGTTTCGGGCTCGCTAGGGGAGTATACACTTTTTATTTTCCACACTGTCTACTCGGCAAGCAAATCGAATTAGTTTACGAAAAGCGAGGTTAACTCTGCTCTTTTTG